CCCCCCGGCACCCTCCTATCAACCCCATCAGCTGTCTAAAACCGCCAAAAAAAACCTGACATCACCCGTAGAAACAAAAAGTCCTCCGTCATTAAAAAAACAAGTCCGTAAAAATCCAGTTCTTCCACTCTCCGAATACGAGCGGAGGGGCAGAACGGACCAATTCCCGAGTGGTAGCGGAGGAGGTGGCAAACCGCAACTTGTTGCATCTCCCCTCAATCCCCCCCGGCGTTTTCACGGGCGAACTTCATGACTTTTAACATAATTAATTTGAATTTCAAACTCACCGAGATCCTCGACGAGTCTCAGCATAACTCCACCAATATGCAGGTCCCCCTTGACCCTAAGACTCCTCTCAACTTGTAAATCCGTAACGTAGACGCGCAGTACCCAGCTGCCGTCCACCTCATGACCGTCGGAGAACATTTTAATTCAACGAGACTTCACTCTTAATTTTCGTATCAATTAGTGTAATTTCGTCACCCAAACTGATTAATTAGTTTTCACAGTCGGCTACATTTATCAGTCCATCAGTCCACACGGTATCTTCATATTTTCGGAAAAATATATTTCAAATTTACTTCACAATCATCAGTTAAGCGGCTGATTTTAGTTATTTTGATTGAAATTGGAGAATTTGAATCGTCAGTTTCTGCGCGATGTTTTATTATTTTTTTTTGTAATTTGAATGAAACACTTGTCGACGTTGCCAGAGCGCAGAGAGCGGTAACCACAAGTTACCACTTCTGTTATCTTGACTGGCCGCCACACAGCCACGATGTGCTGGATGGCAGCGAAATTTTTTTCCGACGGCTGAAGAGGCGCTGCAGTCGTGCAGAGGAGAAAACAACTGTCTCACTCAACTGCAGACTCTCTTTATACTGAGAATAGAAACCGATTTTGCTGGGGAACGCCAGTGCGCTGTGCGCGCGCAACATCTTGCGTCCTTGTTTCGGGATTTTGTGGTGCGCTTTTTGTCTTTTGATTTTGCCTCCTCGTCGTTCGCGGGCGGCGGGGGCTCCGGTGCACTTCCTCTTTGCGAGTTAGTTTGTAATCTTGAGGATTTGAGGGGTTTAGGACAAATCGTGAGACAACCATTCGATTACGAGGCTGCTTGGGTGGTTGTGGGGGATTGCCGCATGAGGTATAACGATTCTTCATTTTTTTTCTCTAATTTTTCCTAATTTTTTGTGAATTCTACTTCATTTACATTTACTTCATTTACTTTTTGTGGAATTTTTCGAGGATTCTGCAGTCTTCTTAATTTTTTGGGAACTCTGCTTCTATTCATTTATTTACTTTTTTAAATTTTTTGTTTTATTTTTTGAGGATTACATTTACATTTACTTCATTACTTCATTTACTTTTTGTGGGATTTTTCGAGGATTCTGCAGTCTTCTTAATTTTTTGGGAATTCTGCTTCTATTCATTTATTTACTTTTTTTAATTTTTTGTTCTATTTTTTGAGGATTAGCTTTTATACTGCAGCCGAAACGTGGACCAGATTTTTTTTATTCTAAGTGAATGAGTAACTTAATGTTTTCTGATGTTTAGGGAGACTCGAGAATTTTGGAGAGTTATCAATTGAATGAAAATAGAGAGAAGGAATAGAAGAATTGGTTATGAGGAATCTGATGCGATTCAGAAATTTTGAATTTCGGATCAGAAGGCAGAAGATTTCGTATTTAGCGAAAAACGGAATTAATATTATCGTTAACAATAATTTTTTTAAAATTCTTCCAGTTCTAAATTCAGTCTCTTGGGCTTTTTGTGATGATTTACGATCATAAAGTGTTTTTGTAGAACTTTAAAAGACTTTATAAGCTAATATATGTATTTTTAGTTTGATAAATACAGAATTTGGTACAAAAAATGTAGTTTTAGTTTAAAAAATTAAAACACGTGTGGAAAAATTTAATAGAAAAACCTAGGACTTTTTTTGGAAATTATATTGAACAAATAATTTTTTAGTGGAAATTGAGAGATGGTGAGAGATATTTGATAGAGAAAAGTCAGTAAATTTTTATTTTTCTGTACATAATCTTGAGCATAAATTTTTCAATTTTGCCCCGTTGTATTTTCATTTGTTTCCCATAATAAAATACAAAAAAAAATCTTGTTCAAGAATTCTTATAGAACACCCAATAGAATAAATTATATGGACACATCAACATTTTTATACATTTTTCTATGAATAAATATGTATTGAAAAACTCACGTGAAAGTTATAAGTTGTATAATTTTCAATAGAACTGGAGCATAAAAAACAAATAGAATTTCCTAATACAATTTTCGTGGAATTCCAATAGTAATTAGAGTTTTCTATTAAATTCTTTTCTACGTGAAAATAAATAAATAAAATACTGTGACTTTCCATTTACATCTTGAGAAGATTTCAGAGGTTTGGATTTGAAAATTAAAATTGTGAATTCCCATAAAAATATGGAATAGAACAATTCATAGCAAAAAATCTCAATTAATTTCTAAATTTTCTATTTCAAATCAGAATAAAAATTCTGTTTTTACAGGAAAAAATGTTGTTATTCTAGAAAATATTTTTTTTGCATTAGTTATAATAAAAAACCACTCAGAATACCCGCTCCCCAGGCCTCCCACACAGAGTACAGGAGGTGAACGATCATCGATGACTGTGGATTAGAAATAAATTCAAATCCACGAGTCGTCCTCACGCTCAGGGAAGAGGGTTATACCTCTTCATCGTGGCTGCATCAACTCCACTGTTGAGTAGAGAGAATGTGAAGATATACTACAGAAACGATCCTGTGAAGTATGATCTTAATTTTTCCGAGCGTCGCGAGGGTTTCTATCAACTTTACAACGGAATTCCACTCGCGGACGAAGATACGCCGAGACGCCACCTAACGTCGAAGCTCTCAATTCATTTCAATTCGGTCAGAAATGAATTCTCGATTTTATAATTTAGAGCGATATATTTAAATATCCGGAATTTATCGATATATTTGAATATCTGAATTGTCTGGAGCAACAATTCCATATCAAGGGGAATATCTTCATTTGTTAATAATCATTTTCAAATCGTTGGTTTAAAAAAATTTCATGTAGTATTTTAAGAATTTCAATTTCATTTTCTATCATTCATAAATTCTCGATTAATTAAAAAATTCCGTTTAAAATTCATTCTTTCGTTTTATTTAATTATTTTATTGATTTATTTGTTTCAAGAACATTTGGACGAGTGCTGCACTCGATCGGTAAATTATCTGGGGACTGTGATCGAATTCTGACGTTCAATTAATATTTTTGGAGTGAATAATATCAGTTGATTAATTATAGTATAAAATAATAGACTAATTAGCTATTGTGGGGACTTCAGAAGACTTTAATTCACGAAGGAAATTATATTTTTTATTATTCTAAATTCTCGATTAATTCAAAATTCAGTTCAAAATTGATTCTTTGATTTTACGTCATCATTTTTAAAATTTTTTTAATTTATTTATTTCAAAAACATTTGGACGCGTGAGTGCTGCACTCGATTGGTAAATTATCTAGAGATGACCCGAACCCGCCGTAAACATTTGCCCGGCGGTCATTATTAAACGCCACTCCGACGTTTAATTAATATTTTTGAACTGTATAATGTCAGTTTATTAATTACCGCATGAAATAATCGACTAATTAGCCATTGCGGTGACTTCAGAAGATTTTAATTCATGGAAAAAACTCATGAAGAATTTTTCATCATTCTAAATTCTCAATTGATTAAAAATTCAGTGGAAAATTAATTCTTTCATTAGATTTAATTATTTTGTTGATTCTAATCATTTATTTACTCTATTTTATTTACTCCCAGAAAATTTTATTCTCTATCATTTTAAATTCCCGATTAGTTCAAAATTCAGTTAAAAATTGATTCTTTGATTTTACGTCACTACTTTTTTAATTTTATTTATTTATTTCAAAAACACTTGATTGGTAAATTATCTAGAGATGACCCGAACCCGCCATAAACACTTGCCCGGCGGTCATTGTTAAACGCCACTCCGACGTTTAATTAATATTTTTGAAGTGAATAATGTCAGTTTATTAATTGCAGTGTAAAATAACCGACTAATTAGCTATTGCAACGGCCTTCGAAGGCTTTAATTAGAAAGACATGGTAAATACGGTGAAAATGATGGTTTTGGGGAGCATAACCTCAAAAATATGAAAACACGTTTGTCAACATTGATTTGTTTTCAGTTGTTCTACTCTTTCTTCAAGTCCCTCATCGGGAAGGATGTCGTTGTGGAGTTGAAAAATGATCTGAGGTATTTTTTTCGTCACTAATTCATCGATCAAATCTCCTATTCTTTTATTTTGATTGATTTTTCATTGAGAGAATTAATACTCTATTTTTTGTCATCTTCACAGTATTTGTGGTACCCTGCACTCGGTGGATCAATATCTCAACATTAAATTGACTGATATTAGCGTCACGGATCCTGATAAATATCCACATATGGTGAGTGTAAAAAATCATGGAATTCATTTGATTTTTTCTTCATTTGCTAAATATCGCGGTAAATGAAGGGTTTATCGAAGAAAATCATTGGACACTTTTTGTGGGAAATTTAATTCTCTACAAAAATGTTCTTGTCACATTTTTCGATAAACCCAGTAGTTTTTGAGATATTCACAAAAGAAACAGTACGAAATTTTCGTAAAATTTCTAGATTTCATTTTTTTCCTTTTTGTATTTCACAAATATCTCGATAAATAGTGGATTTTTCAAAAAATGTCTAAGAATGTTTTCTGTGCGAAATTTAATTCCCTATAAAAATTTTCTGATGACATTTTTCGATAAACCCAATAGTTTTCAAGATATTCACAAAAGAAACAATGCGAAATTTTCGTCAACTTTCCGGATTGTCATTCACTCAACTGAATACATAAAAAAAAATAATTGCAGAAAAAATATTTATAAAATTGCAGTTATCCGTGAAGAACTGTTTCATCCGTGGTTCAGTAGTTCGATACGTCCAACTCCCTGGCGACGAGGTGGACACCCAGCTCCTCCAGGATGCAGCACGCAAAGAGGCAGCTGTGCAGACCCGATAAAAATTCCCTGATATTTACACTACATCTATTTTCTACTCCAAAAGCCAACTAAACAAAATGTTAAATTAATGAATAGGACATTCACTGAATAAATCGAGATACAAATAAACGAAAAATAATCGACAAACGTCAGGAGTGTTCAATTTTCTTCATTTATTGAAAATATTTTATGTAAAATATGTATATCCGTTCGGCCACGCGATCCAACTAATCCAATCCTTCATCAATTTCATCCTCGGTTTCTTTATTTTTTACTCATGAAAAGAAATGTTTCAGTGCTTCAGCGAGTAATGTAAAACATATTCGAGAGTTTTTCGTAATTTAGAGACTTTTTTTTCGTTCTAGAGATAATTATTCTGCAGAGAAGCGGTGGAACGTTGAAATTAAAAAATCCGTCTCGTTAAACTCGCAATTATCTCACGAACGAGTAATTTTACGAGAAAATACCTCACAATCTTTTTTGTAGAGAATCAAATTTCCTACAAAAAATGTGGTATGACATTTTCCCGTAAACTCACCTCAATCCGAGATAAATCCACTTTTATAAAAGGAGAAAAAAAGAATGAAGAACAAATCTCATGATGCCTCTTGTTAATTTGGCGATTATCTCCATAACGACTGGCTGTACGAAAAAATGTGTCTCAACCTTTTTTGTAGCTGGGAAAGTTCTCTACAAAAAATGTTCTATAACATTTTATCCCAGGACAACTCATTATCGAGATAATTAGGCGTTTAACCACTTCCCTCCAGAATCCATCGATAAATATCCTAAAAATAAAAAGATCAACGATGCATCGGCTTACTTTATATAATTCTTATTATATATTAATTATATCGTGTATAACAAAGCGGTAACAACTTGTTAATTTTAACTATATTATCGTAGGAATTACATAATTACAGTAACTAATTATACGGATTGTTAAACTAATTAATAACAAACGAATCGTCATGATTTATTCTCCATTATCCTTCGGTTTAGTAATTTCTCATTAATTTATTCTCGTTTGGATCGAATATCAGTGATTTTTTTATTGTTCATCTCAAATTTTTTTTCTCAATTCAATCTCTCTCCTTGCATTAATTATTTAACAACAGTTTGTCCTCGATTTTTTAGTTAAATTTATCTTTGCATTATTTGCTCTTATAATTTACTTCCTCGTAATCGTAGTAAACGTATTAATGAATTATTCATAATATTGTGCAAATAACTCATAATTTATGCGAAATTTATTTGTTTTTTTTTAATGAATTCTCATTCAAGCGACAGAATTTCAATCGAGTTTAAATATTTTATACAGCTTTATTGCGTCATTCGTACGGTGTTGGGGGATCGAGTGGTGAATTGTCTCTCAAACGAGAGGATTTGGTAAAAAATGTTGACAGATTTTGGCAGCAAATTGAATTTTATACAAAAATTTATCGACATTTTGGTTTCTAAGCCCAAGAGTTTTACATTTTGTTTTTATTTTTCTTCATTCGGCAAATATCTCGGTAAATGAAGGATTTATCAAAAAATACGATAAGATACTTTCTGTGGGAAATTTAATTCCCTGCAAAAATGTTTTTGTCACATTTTTTGATAAATCCAATAGTTTTTGAGATATTCGCAAATGAAAAAAAAAAAATTTCGTGCGATTTCCAGATTGTTTTTTTTTCTTTTTGTATTTCGCAAATATCTCGATAAATAGTGGATTTATCAAAAAATGCTATGGAACATTTTCTCTGGGAAATTGAATTCCCCATAAAAATGTTCTTGTTACATTTTGCCGTAAGTCCATTATGTACCGAGATAATCCCCGAAAACGACTTCACCCCTCGACCGCCGATTGAAATTTCCTCAAACTCAAAAATACAATGTCTTCCTCATCTACTATGATTCTCGTCATCTACGTAGCTCGACTCATGGCAGTTGCTCGTCAGTGACAAGCCCAGAGGCTCATAACACTAGCCTGATCACTTCGTCATTATTATCATACGATTGCAGTTGAAGAGTTGAAAATTCAAACTATTAATTACTCCTCCTCTCTCACCTCTCTCTCTCTCTCTCTCTCTCTCTCTCTCTCTCTGTCTCCTCAACATTCCGAGGTATTCCCTTGAACACCATAACAGCCCAATTTTTTAAATTCACTCATCACTCGTGATTATCTACAATCTCTCGTCCTCAGAAATTCATCTATCATTAAATTTGTCTTTTATAATTTCTTTAAACACTCGTGACAATGATAACTTATGAATAACGGCAGTATCGTTCACGGAGAAAGTACGTTGATTTGTGTATTCATTATTTTAGGATTTATTTATTCAATATTTAGTGAAGTGGTGAAACGCAACAGAAGAACATTAATTATTTCGATGATTAGTTGTTCAAGGGAGGAAATTCTGTACAATAAACGTCGCCAAACATTTCCATGAAAATTGCTCATTAGAGAGATTATCAACTAATTAATTGGCAGAAAGGAATTAGTTGCACTTTCCAAGATGTTTTTATTAATTGTTTAATTATGTGAATAGCGAGTGGTTTTAGAGATAATGTCAAAGAATATTTTTGTAGGTGAGGAAAGTCTCTACAAAAAACATCTCTCAACATTTCCATTAACATGGTTCATTACGCAGATAATTAATTAATTAAGTGAAATGAATTAATCAAGAGGTGATTTAATTGGTTGTAATCATGGAACTTTATCCCTAATGAGTACTTTTACGGGAAAATGTCTCTCGATATTTAATTACACAATTTCATTACTAATTATTCAACGCATTTGACCCGTCGATAATTAATAAGATAATTGTCTTCATTATCTTATTAATGATATAATTTAGTAATGCGTTCAAAATCCGTTCTGTTCTGTTCCGTTTAATCGCTTCACTGTTAAATTATTCAAAACACAAACGAGTCATCAACACAATGTATATTTCTGCAATTCATCAATTACACATACTCTCCCCATTTTCGCTACTACCGGTTCAAATAAATCTTTATAATGTCTTCAACGTAATATATGGATAATTCATATTCTCTGTAAACATTATTCTCCTCTCTCTCCTCCTCCAAAAAAATACCGAAACACAATCATCGTAATATCAGTGGGGAAGTTGATGTTGTTTTTTAATTACGATTTTTGTGATTTCGATATTTTTCAATGAACCGTTGAAACTTGAAAAAAGCGAACGATTTTCTTCCTATTAATTCTCCAATTATCTCGGTGACGAATGGTTTTTCAATAAAATGCCTTTAGACATTTTTTGTGGGGAATTAAATTCTCTACAAAAAATTTATTACCACTTTTTCTCCTAGATCCACTCAAAATCGAGATAATTCAACATTCAACGAGACATGAAAAAATCGCTCTTTTCTTCCAGTTCTATCTCTTCACTATTGGATTCTCTCTTCATAATTCCTCGATTTAATCCATCGAATAAAACGTAAAGCCTTTAATTAATCACATAGCGTCTTGCTGGCATCCTCGCATTCAATTAATCTATTAATGAATTTCAAAACTCAGAAATTCTCATTAATTTCATTGTTATTATTATTATTAATTTTGTGGGGTTTCAATTATTGTTTGGAGTTGATAAATTGAGAGTTTCTTCGGGGAAATGAGAGTTGCTCCTGGGGAAGAGATGATTAACCCTCAGTTCCCTGGAAACTCTCATTTGATGACTCAGGAATTATTTGCACATATTACACGATTTTTCGATAATTAATCGATCTCGTTTAATCGAATTTTTGGTACCCAATTAGTCTCCGAGGGTTGTTGCAATCAAGGCAATGATCTCCGCGTAGTTTCGATGGTTTTTCTGTCATTTTGTAAAAAATGAAGGAATTTTTCGGTGATAATTCGGTTGTAAAGTGGGAAATTATGATAATTATCTCGATAACGAGTCGATTTAGGACAAAATGCCAGTAAATATTTTTGGTAGAGAATTAAATTCCCTTTAAAAAAGCTTCTACAACATTACTCGATAAATTCATCTATTATCGAGATAATTAGACAATTAACAAAGTCTCGAAGTGAAATTCGATTTGTCTTCAATTGCGAATAACTCCAGAACGGCAGAGTGAAATTCCTCTTTTTTTTTCATTTTCAAGTTTTTTTTTTTCAAACTTCAAAATGAGACTTGACTCGTCTAAATCGCATCGTTTGATCAGGAGATACAGCCGATTAAAGACAGCTCGTTCTACCTTATTTCCGACAACATTTTGTTAATTGCATAATTGTCTCTGCAAAGTGAGAATGTATTAAAAAATTTTGCGGGGAATTCAATTTCCCACAAAAAATGATAACTCCCCTCATTAGCGGGATAATTATTTCCAATTTTTCCCACTTCTCCACCGAATGTCATCATAAAAATGATGTTTTTCTCCTTCTGTTAAGTTCTCATTCCTGTTAATATCGTCAATACCTAGAATATTTTGACAAGCAGACTTGACATTAAACATCATTGAATTCAAATGATCTGTTCCATCATCGCTCACAATCATTATTTTAATTAATCATTAGTCATTATCGTTTGAGCTTCTATAGCTTAGAGTAATGAACATTTTGCCTTGTAATCGTTTAACGCTGTTCATTCTTCCGTGTGGATAAAGCGCATCGCGTTATGCTACTTGCCCGAACATTTAAGACGCAAACTACCTAGTTCATTTACGCGCACGTTCAGATATCAGTGGCGATGCAGTGAAACAATTTTCCTTTTTACTCTTCACCTTTATCCATCCGGAAATTGGCACTGGCCCTTCCCCAAACTCGTAAAAGTAAAAATCACTAGGGAAAAATATCATTCACGGCTAGTGTTTTGGGATTTTTTACTCCCGCGGTTGACCAGCCCTTGCCGCTGACACGAACGCCAACTGCGCGCGAGTAAAAAACCCCATGGCACTCGCCCTAAAATACCATCAAGTCGACTTAGCTAAGTTTTTACGGAATATCTCCGAATCTAAGGGAGGTAGTGAAATTGTCATCATGACCTTTTTTGTAGAGCGAATTGAGGGCTACAAAAAAGGTTATGACAAAAATTTCGCTATCTCCCTTAGACTCCGAGATATTCATTGAAAAATGGGCGGTAGTAAAAATCGACTTGACCATTTTACCGCTTCGCTACTGATGTCAATTAATCTTCCATTGAAAAGCTATAATTGATAATATAATAATTCGTGGTGATGGGGCTGATTGATGCATCGTAACTAGCGTGAGCGTAAATGAAGTACGTACACAGTACGTCGTCCCTGTTTTCTCTTCAAATGGCACTTTCACCATCGAATCATAAAAAAAAAAATCATCACGAAATTCCCAAGCCTCTGGGCCTCGGGGAAAAGGCCCACAGAATTGTTAATTTTCAATAATTTCCATCAATCTCTCGAAATAATTTGATTCTATAAATCGTTACGCTCCTTGATGCAACCGCTCATTCACTCGGATAAAAAAAGCTACGGTACAATTACATTATATCCACATAATATTTATATTTATTTATATATTTATATCGAGTGCAACCGATGCTCAACAGAAGATAAATTCATCATTAACTTCGATAAACTATGATTCAGCAGCGAAGCCTTCAGTTTTTTTCCTAACAAAATATCTCGAAATGGCGAGATATTTTCCAGAACCGTAACCTCACTTCTGAATATCGGTGTCTGGGCTATATTTCTTCCGAAGAACAATTATTTCTGGAAAATTTTTTCCCGAAAATTTCTCCCAAAAGATAATTGTCAATGAAATACGAGAAATAGAATAGAATATTTACAACTAAAAAAAAATATTAAAAGGGGGGAGAACTTTGTGACGTGATTGTTAGTCAAAGGGGGACGGAAAAATCTGAAAGCTGGTCGAAAAAAATTGTTCATTTTATAGAAACCGCGTGGCGGGAGTTGACAATAATTGGAAAAGTATAAATAATGTTAAGAGATGTTTAAAAACACGAGGTGAGGGCCCCGCCATCTTCAAGTCCCTTTCAGCTGAGGGAGTGGCTATTCAAGATGGCGGCGGCGCACAGCTGTGTCACCACCTCATATTTTTGAACATTTCTCAAAATTATTCATCCGCTTCAAACATATTTGTGAAAAGAAAATCAATATCTTTAAAAATGAATCTTTTCCCTTGTGTCAAATATTCCCAAAATACATTTAAATGTATAACTCAAAATTAATTCCAAATTTTCGGGAATAATTCAAAATATTTTCACTCGAAATACAGCCCCAGACCCCTGAATACCTCATTCCAATAAAAATTGTTCCAAAAAACCATTTTTACACTATATAATAAATCGTGGGCAATTAATTTTATTTGTGCGAGCCTGAACATTGCAAAATATATACAATATATCAATACGTGAATTACCCTTCGCTTTATTGATAATCAAAACAATCAATAGAATAGTAATAATAATAATAACAATAAATGTAAAAAATATTAGACAAAGCGGCGTCGTCTACCTCGTAATTACAATAATAATCGTCAACCGATTGAAATAAATCGAAAACAGCCATTACTAATTTATCATAAGTTAATCCGGCCTCATAATAATTGATGATGCAGTGGGTACGTGTTCATTATCATTAATCCTCCTCGTGTGTAAATGTGTCTGTGCTCGTTGTAACCAATCGTGTTAATCAAACACATTTCATCGAAACTCTTCAATATATCTTCACTGATGTAAAAAATAACCGATGATTGATGATAATTTTTTTTTTTTCATTTGGACACTGTTATGTTAATCGCGCACGTTGCACATTTATATTAAAACATATTTATCAGTTCAATTCACTCATTCATTGGCCATTGAATTCATAATTTGGGAATCGGGGGGGAAGCGAATCCAATAGCCAAATGTCTGATGAATTTCAGCGACATAACGCGGTTGAACATTTTTTTCATGAAATTTTTTTTTCTCTTTGTTTCACCGAGAAAAATCACTTATACTCCGGATGTTTTATGTTGTTTTAATTAGATAAAAATGGGGATGGGGGGAAAATTGTTAAGGGATCTTAAGAGCGTTTTAAGCAAGCGAGGGAGTGGGAACGGGGTCTTGGGAATCATTGAGAGTCATTAAATTATTAATATCAAGTGGACAATCCGCGGGCCGGCGTCGAGGCGTGCTCGATATTTCATTAATTTAATTGATTTATTATTCAATGAAATAATTTAAATGGACGAATCTCAATAGAGTCTTCAGTATTATTCATCATTATTTTTTTTTCGATCGAAACTATCCCAACGACGTTTCATCATTATCATTAAATGTTGTTTTAATTAAGTTTTCATTAATATTAAAATGGTGCAGTCCGATTTGAAAAAGGCAACTCGTTGGAGGAATTAATGATTAACGATGTTTTTTTTTCTTCTTAATCTTCATTTTCGTCTGTCATTTTGTCTCAAATATCGTTTTACAAAACTATAAGGCTGTTGATTAGTTAAATAGCACACGATATATTCATTTGTTTCAAAGGATTTTTAGCAAAGTCATGGTGGCGAATGAGAGAAGAGCGCAGTGATAAATCCGGGGGGGCCGGGGGGGTGAGGATTATCTCATTTATCATTAATTATAATTAGTTATTATTCTCTTTAATAAACGGCTGCAGTTTGAAGTATATTTTTTTTCATGTAGTTTTGAGTACTTCATCGTCCGATGATAATTACTTTTTCAAATGATTCGTCGTTGGAGTTTCGAGCTGAGATCAGACGTCCGCAGTGCGCGATGTTACACTTGGTGAACGGCTATGTATAACAACACGATGTCCATTTTTAGTGATAAACCCATCACTCTCAACTAGTACAGCTGTTTGTCTGACCCTTGGATCAGTGTCAGGATCATCGCTCTCCTCACTTGGTCCACCAAGACGATTTTGCTTGTGCTTGCGCCATGCATTTTGAATGAGACGTGCACAATATTCCTCCCTCTGTCGCCACAATGTCGATGATACTGGCTCATAACCAACCTCACCAGGTCGTGTCTGTACTTCGGCCAACTCTCCAGTTTCCTCAATAGGATTACCCTTTCTAGCGAAAAAGTCTTTGGTGAGGGCATCGAGGATATCCACGCAAAACATAAGATCACCCTTACATATGGGGATATCCATCGACACGATCTTGTACTTGTTCGGTTTGTGTATTTGCAAGGGTGGCTCAAGTACATCCAAGAAATCGGAGAGCTGGTCGTATCTAATGTACTGTGTACCATCTGGATCGAATTGCTGCCATATTTCATAGTACATATCGTAGTCATCATCGGTCAATCCCTCCTGCACATCTTCGGTCGCTTGTGAGTAATTCTCTAATATCACTGCGATATACATGTTGATGACGATTAGGAAGCTGATGACGAGATACGATAGCAGGTATGCAATTCCAATTGTTGAGGATCCACAATTGCCGGGATAGCCTATTTCATTGTTCGGCTGGAGGCAGTCCTCTTCGTTTATTATACCGTCTAGCACGCCGTCCCAACCGGCTGATGTCGACATCTGAGAACAGGATTTTATAGGTTTTTTTTTGGTACAATAACAAGTCTGATCATTTTTACGTGTACCATAACCATTGTTTTTTGCTCTGGAGAATTTTGAAAAAGGGTTACAAGTGTGGGCGCCACCATTTTGCTTGGATATCTCTTCCATTTATCGCAAGAGGCTTCAAAGATGGCGGCACCCGCAAATTCATTTTTACGAGCGCCGTGAATTCTCAGCCAAATGGGGATGTAAAAATGGGAACGATAGCTTGGAGAATTTGTTCAATTTTCTAAAAGGAGCATGAAATGAGTTGAGAGGTTTCTAAAGGGATGAACACTTTTAAGAAACGTTCAAAAATACGAGGTGGTTCGCAAGTGTGAGCGCCGCCATCTTCCTTGGATACCCCTTCCAACTAAAGATGGCGGCGCTTCCACCTCGTATTTTCAAATATTTCTTATAATTATTTATCCACATGAGATCAATATCAACTTGTTTGCTTCAGTTCCTGGAGAAGGAACAAATGTTTTAACATTTGAAGAACTATCACAAATCGTTATTGTACCACATAAACTCGTCGCATTGTCTTCGTCTCACGATACTCACTTGAAACAACAGTATCATCGACTGTCCAAAAGTTTTGAAATTATACACGTCATCAAGACCACTTTTATCCTTAACGTGCATGAAGAATGACATGCCAAATATGGCAAAGATAAACATAACAAGGAAAAGCAGGAGGCAAATGTTGAATAGAGCTGGCAGAGACATGGCAAGGGCAAATAGTAGTGTCCTTATGCCCTTAGCACCCTTGACAAGACGGAGTACACGACCCACTTTGGCTACTCTCACCACTCGCAGCAGTGTAGGTGATACAAAGTACTTTTCAATAATGTCACTCAGCACCAATCCTGCAATGATGTTACCAAAATCATTAGAATCTCCTCTATAATTAATGAAAAACATAGCTACGATTCACGATGCATGGGAGGCTAATCTTGCAGGGTTATATCTACTGGGAATATTTGTAATCTCTGACTATATCTCCTCTACCCTTTCTGTCTTTCATCTAAATAATCTAGGATATTCTACTCTACACTGATCAAAATTTGTGTGCGTGTATTCTATTCTGTAACTAAATCTCAATGGATTATGTTTGTTTGAAATGAATCAAATGTTTTAGAAATATATTCAAGAATCTCTTACCCAACCTCAGTGGGTTAACATTCCGGTATCAATCATTTTGGGAAATTTCTTTTATCATCTTCGATCATACTTACAAGCACATTGACATTGGGAAAGAATATTTGGTTGCTGATTTGATTGAAATGAGGGGAGAGGGTAAGAGGATTGATCCACATTGAGACACCAATTTTCAAGGCATAGTAAACATCAATGTGAGGCTACATAGCGTAATGATTTTGACCAGTCGTTGCGACTCAATTGAAACGCTGATGACCACCTGTTTGCTTCCTGTCTTGTATCAGTGTTAATTTGTTTATTTTTGTGCAGTACTACGTGTTTTTATGAAATATGTTGATCAAAGAATATTCAATAATCTAAAACTGCGTAAATTAATCAACTATTCTATCATTTAAAGAGTCATTTGTATCAAGCAAACAGGCTTCTCGTTAATGACATATTGAGTGGTCCGTTTCAGTGGGGTCATACGACTGATACAGTCATTACGTTACATTACCTAATATTGATAATATAACAACAACAAAATCAAAGAGATTCCAGGGCTCCTTGAAGTAGTGATAGCGTAGAGCAAATATCTTCATCAAACACTCGCTGGTGAATATCACAATGAATATCATGTTTAAGTAATCAAGCACATTGCTGAATGTTTCTGTCTGTTGATAGTGATCTAGTGTCATTGTCAGCATGTTGAGACCAATGAACAACATGATTATCATATCGAACTTCTTGTCCGTCACTATTTCAAACACTATCGCTTGGGGTCTCCACTGAAATCAAATAAAATGTTGATTTTATTCAAGAGGATTTTCACGATGACCAGTTTTAATGAGGAATTATTCTAATTAATGACTCGTTTGACATACCCTTGGTCGTGGTATAGCCTTAAGAGGTTTTTTACTCCCCATTTTTTTCATAGCATTGTAGTACTTCTTCTGATCCTCAGTCATGAACATCTCGAGTGAGCCACCCGCTTTCTTCTTTTGCTCATTGAAATTATCAATGATGACTCCGATAAACAGATTCAGGGTAAAAAATGATCCGAATATAATGAAGAATACAAAGTAGAGATACATGTAAATGTTTGTCTCGCGGATCGGTTGTTTTCCAAGCTGTTGAACAGTTTGAACAGTTGTTTATCTGATTAATTATCAATAGATGATGAGGGATACTTACGTCTCTGGAGTCAATGGCATCGTTCATTATCTGAATCCACCCTTTGAAGGTAGCGACTTGAAATAGACACAAGTAAGCTTTGCCGACATGATCGAAGTTCATTGGTGAATTTTCCCACGTGTAGTTCTCGGCGATACAAGCATTACGATCGGGAATGATTTCATGACTGAGAGTTGTCTTGTTCATGTCAACGCACTGATGACGGAAACATTATCGATAGGATTATCACTAAAATTATATATTATCCTACTAACGATTAACGAGAAAACTACCTTGTAGTACTTCCCAGCAAACAGCTGTACTCCCATGATTGCAAAGATCAGCCAGAATATCAGACAGACCAGCAGTACGTTGAAGATGGACGGGATAGCCTGGACCAGAGCGTTCACCACCACCTGAACGAACAATTCTGTCAGCATCCGCTCGTGACAACAACGAATCTCTACATAATTGAGTTGTTGGTCCCACAAATCGTGAAATAATCTCCATCTCTCAGAGATAGATTATGAAAAGTAAGACAATGGAAAGCTACTGTGCAACCAACAAGCCAAATTCATCTAGATCCACCGAATGATGTTACGATTTCAAGCAATCTAGCACAAGTGTTGCGTCTCCGAACGCAAGCGCAAATTCATGACAAATGACAGTGAGCATGTTCAAAAGTAAAAAAGATAGTGTAGGGTATCAATTGTTTATTGTACAAAGCTTCGAGAGTCCATGCAACTGTTGCCCAAAGCGTTCAGCCAAAAAGTATTGAGGAATAGAAAAAAATCCCATAATGGAAAACCAAATGATCGTCATTGTGATACGTGTTGGGACTGTCAAAAGCCTGCGAGTGTTGTTTGTTCTGAAACACTATTTGTTCCCGCTTTGTAAAATAAATAAAAACCCTTCTCAACAAAACGATTAACGTGCACGGATGCCAATTTATTCATTTATCTATTGTTGATTCTTCACAAGCATGCAGTCTATTGCTCCTCTTATTGAAACTATGATGCTGACTATTGTGGAATCAAGTGTCTGGGGTATGGGCATGACCATTATACTCTAGTACCCAATGTCTCAGTGACCTTACCAATGTAAGCGTGTGTTACAGTCTCAATCAATCCCTCATTACTGTAATTATCAAAATCTAGAGAATCTACTGTGATAAAAATTCTGTATTGAAGCGATTGATGACACAATGACTTCATCTCGATAATGAATACTCATTACTGAGATAATTAATCAAATTTCTCCACTTCCACCCAGAATTTCCCCCCGCAATTCGCAAACATCAACAAGAAACTACTCTATCATATTAAAAAAATGACTAGGTGACACTAGAAAACAATGTTCAATGCATCAATACCAAAAATCGGCAAGTATGTGATTCAATATAACGAATGAATGATCAACTAAAAAATGTGTTGTGAAATGACAAGGTCATCTGAGACTAGTTGGGCTACATACCCGCATCCCCTGCATTCTAGACATCGCCCTGAGTGGCCTTAGGGCCCTTAGGGTCCTCATTGTTTTGAAGGCTTGAATTCCGCCCGCGCCACATAGCGACGCTACGAAGTTAATGAGCGACACCTGCGACCGACAAACGAGATCGAATATAACAGCAAATGTTGAAGAGCTATGTGGCATTTTTTCATTAAAAAATCATTCATATAAATCTGCATTAAATGGATAAAATTGAAAAGAAAAAAAAATTGATCGCCTTCTCTTCGCGGAATGAACGCTATAGGATAGTCTCTCTACATATTTCTCAATGAGTCCCCTCTCTGTCGCTTAATCAAGGGTGGAAAGACATTAGTACAGTAAAGATATGAGTAAGAATAGAGTACAACAATGTAGCAGTGGACAATCAATAGACGATATAGAATTACAAGACGCAGAAGACAGGTTTTGAACTTTCATTTGAACAAAAAGAAAAATAAATATCATCAGCTCCATCCTGAAACAGATGAAATAATCTCACATACTGTTTCCACCACGAGACAACACCAATCTTCATCGGCCAATGGCCATCAGATCATACCAAATGTTCAATCAATTCATCGAATTTGTCAGATTGTCTCGTAATTGGAATCAGATTATTTGGAAATCGCGAGCCTCAAACGAGCAGGAAACCTCAACGTTCTCATCTCTTTTTTTTGGTAATCATAGAGAGACACAAAAGAATATGATAGAATTCTGTACATTACATATAAAGCATACTCTGCACAACAATTAATTTCACCAAAAAAAACTGTCATGAGAAAGAGGCGTACATGGCAATAGCTAGTACGACAAAGATTCTGTCGATATACATGGAAAGGTCATTATATCATGAAAACACAGTCAGGTATCACCTCTACTTATGAGTTTGTGATGTTACTGGTCATTTCATTCGACATTCATCATTACATGGACGACTCGTTACGACATTACTTATTATCTGACGTTTTTTCGACTTTAGTTTTTCGGAAGGCCAATCAATTCCTTATTACTTATTGTTGTTTCATGTTCTAAAATGTATTTTGTCCAGTGATTAATTCCAATGATGAATTACTGTAATAAGTAGAGATGAAATCCAGTGGGAGATATTTTACTGATGCGTAACATTAACATTTCGATGTTCATAACGTCAATGTTGCGCATCAATTCCACGCCAAGATGGCAACTCCCCGCCCAATTTAATCAACAATTTAGTATTCCTGCACACGAGTAAGCACACCACATGATACAAATGTACTTTCTCCATCTCTCATTCTTAGAATTCGCTCAGACGTTAGCGTTACAAGCCTCAAGCTCCGCCAATTGACCCCCACAACACGAACAATAAATTATTCACACAATATCGATAATCGATGATGGTCAATTGGCTTTTCAACACTAACGAAGGGGTCAACTGTATCTCATCGCAAAATTACAGACAAAGGTTTGTTTATTTTTTTTTCCCATTCGACAAAAAATGGAAACTGATTTCACTTAATCGTTGGAGAACGAGCCGTCATCACTTACTCTCATGCCCTCCCATCGGGAGACAGCTCGCAAGGGCCTCAATGCCCTCAATGTTCTCATTGAACGGAAGGCTGGGATGTCAGCTGCACCCGCCCAGATAGCACCCAAGTTGATCAGCGATAGCTATTGTTCATCAACTCACGTTAAAGTTTAATAATTGCTAAATGGGGAATTTTGTGAAGATTACGGGGTGATTCAGGGGGATTTTGGTAGCTCCATTTGGAACAGCTTCGTGAAGGCTTTCCTCAGTCGTTACGGGAGAGACAGAAGCATTATCGATGGATTAATTCGTTGATTGTTGAGTTTTCATCAAGATTTTTCAACTCTCATCTTTTCATTTGATGATCACTTACTATTTCTCGCGCTGATTGATGTTAAATTGTTGACATGAGTTATTGGCTCATTGTTCAGACGTTTGGTGATTGAAAAATCTTGATTTTGCAAGGCTTTCATAATTTTTGATTGATTTTTGGAAGATAACTTACCATTACAATGATGAAATCGAGCCAACACCAGGCATTCGTGAAGTACTTGGCGAATCCAAGCGCCAACCACTTGATCAACATTTCCAGGAAGAATATGACAGTGAAGATACGGTCCATGTAGTACAGGATGTCTTGAAGAATTGGTCTCGATTGTAGATGAACATCCTCGAGGGCCTGAAATCACAAGTTAATGGGGATCATTAGTCCCTTGACGAAGGCTCTTGATGATTTTTGGACTTCAGTAAAAACAAATGTTACAAACTCTTTTGAATCCCACTTACCAATGCCATACTGCTGAGCAAAATCATGGTGATAACAGCAGTCTCGAAGTACTTGTTCTCAATGAGTTGAAATGTCTTGAGACGAAGATTGGCCCAGCCCTGCCAGAAGGGTGCGTCGTCATCGCCAGCGAGGAATGGAAACCTCTTGTAGCAATGATCGGGACAGCAATCGTGGGGATAGTCTCCATCGCCCTCGATTATGTCCTCGTCAGCGTGGATGACGATGTCACCCTCCTCCTCCAGCTCTTCGTCTTCGCCGTTCTCACCGTCGTCTTCTAGATCTGTTTGGTCAAATCACATCACTCGTTCGATCGTGATTCATTAAATCCTTCACTTACCGTCTCCCTCGAGGTCTTCTTTGCTGGCGTCCTTCTTCTCCTCTCCGTCCAGAGAATCCACACTTCCTTTGTGACTTCTCTCACTGTTGAAACGATTCTCATGGCTACCGTATGATTTGTTGCTGAAGGAAATGGATAACATCAGTGTGTTTAAGATCGAAGAAGGGAAACGGATGAAATCAAGGGGGATTAATGGTTCTGGGAAATAATCACCTGATCGTGTCCTCATCGTGATGAGTAATATAGTCATGATCGAGTCGGTAATCTCGATGGTTTATCGAGTTCCCGATAGCTTTCGTGTTATTTATACTCACTCTGTCCCTTCTCAATTTATTTCTCAGATCTCCTAGAAGTATGAACATTACTTAAGTGCATTATTGTTGATTAACGGTACTTTCTTCAATCATTAAGAGGCCTCGCAAAGTTTTTCCTGTATTTTAGTTTTTCAATGCATTGAATCATTGAATTCAATTAAAATACATTGTCATAGAAATTCTATTCGAAAGCAAATTGTTTCTATAGTTGCAAATAGTGTATCACGATACAAATGCAAAAGTAGCTGTTGACGAGTGTGGGGGTAACAGTAATCACATTCGTTGGGAAGTACAATTTTTCGTATGTATCGTAGAATATTTTGTGTTTCAAGTGAGAAAAAAGTGGTTTTTTGCACCACAAGCGTACAAAAAGTGGCCTTTTGTCACTTGTATCATAAAATATATTGACTATATTGTGACGAAAGCAATTTCCCACTTATTTTTACTTCCGAGGCCTCATATCAATTTATTAGACATGACCACCACCATAAACCAATTACCGTGTATCGTAAATTCCATTCCATCTCCAATAGCAACTTCCAACTGATTATTGAATTCTTTAGCACTTTTCTTATCTCTGTATCCATCCAGTTCACCATCAGCAAGATCCCGACTGCAGTCACGATCAATTCCATCTGCGCATTTACACATGATCTCTAACCCATCCGGGTTACCATTTTTCATGGTCGAAAAATAATATAGGACAACTGTTCAAATAATAAGTCTCTGTATTTGACTCGTTTATAAAAAAGCCACCCTTGCGATACTCAATCATCAAAAAGTTTAACGATTTTTCTTTTTAATTTTTACTCATATTTTTCGATTAAACTTTTTGTCATCGAGTGTGAGGATTGTCAATCCTTTTCACTGGGCAAACGAAAAAAGCATGCAATGTTCAGTGACGTATGGAGAATTCCGGCGAGAAATTGTAGATCAGAACAAGTCGATTTCTCACATTTTGTCTCTTTGCAGCCGAAATTATCTAGGGGATGGGTGATTTTGGGGGAAAATGTCAAGGAAATTTTTGTTAGAGTCAAATTTTCTACAAAAAAAGATGGAGAGGATGAGGGGCTGGAGGAAATTATCGAAAAATGTTGGATTCGACTGCTGATGTTCTACAATTTCAGAACGGAATGCCAATGGAGTGAATTGATTTTGAATAATATTCCAAAAGTTTGAACTTTCTTCTTTTACAAAAAGTGCAAATGTCCCTTGACTTATCGTGCAGAATAGCGTGCGTGATATCAAGTGAAATACACGTGATTCGACGTCACAAAAAAGGACAAAATCAGTGAAAATAATAGATAAAAATTTTGATAAATACTGTTCTCGTGATCGCATTTTGTATCTCCAAATGAAAAGTTGATATAAATAATTAAATACAGGAATTAAATATACATATGGGAGGATCAATGATAGGTTGATGTATAATTCTATTACATCGGTCATATCCACTTCAAATCCAACTTACAAAAGCGACTAGCGACTATTCGATTTTGATATCTCGTAATCCAGAGTAACTGAACAAAATTTTTAAACAATAGATAATGATGTAAATAATGTATCAAAGTACGTGAATAATCAACGAATGAGGGAAATCAAACAATTCTGATGGCCAAAACAACAAAAGTGTAAATGAACGATTAAACAAATGATCAAATGAATTTATCAAAGGAAGACGAAACTACAACAGCGCACACAGCAAGCGATCTGATTGGATATAAACCTTCTTTCCAACTGTTGGACGGTCCCTCACCTGGCGCCTGATCGGATATCTGATTGGTGAATTTGGCCCGCATCATTTTGAACACATTCCGAACGTTACGTTTGACCCATGCTATAAAACGTGCTATCCTGTCAATTGCCTCGGTTATTTTATTCGTGTCATTGTCGGCAGTTGGTGCTGACAGATTCGATGAACCGAAGTTGCTCAAGAGCAACGCCAAGAAGAGATTGAGGACCTTTTATCATTACAGCGGAAATAAAAATTCGTTTATCAAAATATTCATTTATATCGAAATCTGCGGGAGATTGCGCAATTTTTGGGATTATTCGGCCAAAATTTACGAAATGGCCTGATCTCCTTCAGATTCGAAAAGATGGACAAGATGGAGGACAGACCGGCCAAAATATCAGTGTTACAATATGGAGTAGATAAAGATCATGATTTTAAAAAATCACTTTATTTGTTTTTGTAATTTTTCCATTTTCTTTCAAATTGTTTTAAAATCCAGTTGAATTTTCATGATTTTTTTTTCAAAAACAAAGTCACAATGATATTTTATATTATGATATGTATCATGTGCCCTCGGTAATCCATTTTGTCTCAAGATATGAATGAATAACCACAAGACAATAAAAAAATAACTAAAAATTGTACATACGACCAAATTTCCGATGACAACAGTGGCCAAAAAGAACGGAATACAGGAGACATCACCAACCAGCATACAATCCCACATAGACTCGATCCACTCACCGCACAAAACTCGAAATACAATCATAAACGAGTGCATGAAATCCGTAAAATTCCACCTCGGTAAATCTCCATCGGGAAATCGATCAACATTGTCCGTATAATTTTTACCAAACAATTGCATTCCCATAACGGCAAATATGAATATAATAATGCACAGCACAAATGTCAGGTTACCCAATGCACCCACAGTTCTTCCCATAATTGATATCAACAGATTTAACGTTGGCCATGATTTAGCTAATTTGAACACTCGCAACTGCAACAGACAATGATCAGACATTATCCACCAGTTTGCTACCAATAATGAATAGTCTTTTTGAGAAAGAGAAGACGGAATATTCACCAATCTGAATGAACGCAGTACAGAAAGTCCTTGAACTCCCTCGAGGCCCAACTCCAGTAGCGAAAGTGCAACGATAATAAAATCAAAAATATTCCATCCCTCTTGGAAATAAAATTTTGGACTCATAGCTATAAGTTTCATGGCTGCTTCGATGCCAAATGTTGCGGTAAAAAACTGAAAAATATTTTGTATTTTTTCATCAGTGAAGTTGTAAAGGTGATTCATCTCATTTTTCAACTCTTAAAATCAAAATGACTCACGTAATTTCCAGATTTAAGTATTCTCTCCATCTCCGGATCCATATTGTGGTGATCAAGTGCCATGAACAGAGTATTAACTACGATGCAGAGTGTAATGAACAATTCTACAAATGGATCGAAGACAATCATTGAAACAAAGTCCTGAAATTTGATCCATGGTCCACAGCACTTCCAGTCACAAAACATATCGATTCCTTGTAAAAACCCTGATATCAACTTCTCCTTCAATGTTGGACCTTCTTCGTCGTCGTCTGTCGGAAAGTAATAAGTAGAAACTGTACTTCATGTTAGTAATGCTTGTTATTGTCACCACTCTTTTTGGGGAAAGAGTTTTTTTTTTTTGATTTTTACTGTTAATTAATATTTGTGCTCAAATAGCGAAAAATAGCTGTGCTTGATCATCATCAGAATGATCTAAATATCTTCATCAATGAAAACCTCAGGTGCAGAAAATTCGTGTATTTTTAGTCTATTGAAAGTCATAAATTTTTACTTCAGGGTGTCTTATTCATAATAACTCCACAATAAAAACAAATAAAAGTAATTAGAAGCACAAGTGATCACCCAACAAAAGCATAACGCAAAACGCTAAACAGTGCAAAATCATGGAAAAATAACAGACTCAAGTACAATAAAACTGTACACAAGTGATTGAATGCAGCATGCTATGTACAAAAATAAAGACAATGCTTGAAAACTCTGTTTCCCCAAAAATTCATTCAACCTAACTACCACATCCCAGGGGACGTAATAAACTTCATTCACTTACGCGTTCTTTCAAATCAATAAAATAACGATAAATAATTTGTAAAATAAATTCCTCATCTTACTCACTTCTCCATATATAGAAAATACCAAACAGTAAGATCGAGCAAACCAATTCACTGAATCATGTCAAAATCAATTGAAAAAATTTGAATTTAAATTCAATAGCAAAGGGACTGATCAAGACGAGACAACTGAACTGAATCGGGTTATTCGTCGATGAATCAACTGATCTTCAGATCAAGTTGCCTCATTTTGCCATCATTTTTCACTACAAAATCACTTCATTTCACTTCTGTAATATATAATGGACTAGTGTGCCTCGCACAAACACGAAGACAAACGGTGTTAAATCACACACACACACACGGAAGAAAATTCACAAATTTCAATGTTTAAAAATAGAAAGGTCAAATAAAAATGAGTGAGAAATTGAAATTTACCTCCTTGTTCGGATGCTCTGCTCTGCCGCCCAGCGGCTTGTTCAATAATATCATTCAAGACCATAACATCTGTAAAATTAAAATCATGGTTAATGAAAAGAAACTTGTGACTGAAGACAATGCTTTAAATATAGAATAAACGTCTGACCTTTCATGTCGACAACGGCGTGCGGCTGAGAAGACTCGATAAATGGGTTGTCTTGCTGTTTGTTCTTACCCAATGGATCTTCCATGTCCACATCCTGTGCGCATAAATGACGTCACGTGGGTTTTAATAGAAGTTACAATGGGATTAAACATTCATTCATTCGATTTTTGAATGGAAGAATCAAGGGTATTGATTCTATCTTGTTAACTTATGAATTATCTCTGTCGAGGGACCTTTTTCTGTTGAGAACTGTGACATTTTCCTCTGAACCTACGCATTTTCTGCATCTTTGCAATGTAATTGGATGTTATCAGAATAGATCATTCTGCTAAGAGCACTTAATGCAATAGAATAGTTATTTGTCTGGCACGCAAACGACTACGGTCCAATCGCCAGTGATTAACATCAACAATAATAGCAATTGATTCCCTTCGATCCTCACAATCTTCCTCATTATCCCGATAATATGACTATGATCTTACATGATGATGCTGCAACTTCTGATTCTGCATTGGCTCGGGTGTATGACCATTGCCCTGTCTAGCAGATCTACTCCTAAGTCTGCTCTCCTTGGTCATTTGTTTACCAGCATTGGCGATACCGCTCAACAGATCGCCATGGGACGTATATGATAATCTTGAGGCATGCGATGTGTAGGACGAATGACGTGATCCAAGACTTGGATAATGGACCGGTATAACGATCGTTCCATTCTCCTCGGACATTGGTGTGACAGCATTTGAATCGTCTGCATAAGGCAAGTGTTCTTGGGCATCTAGGTATGTAGACAGTACAAGTGGCTTTCTATCCCCACCTGATGATCCAACGAATCTACCGCGGCCATTGCGAATTGTGAATTGATGGCTTCCACGACTACCTCTTCGGAGATTGAATGGTGAGCCTGGCAGGCTAAGGCTTGCCTGCAATTAAATCATCATTATCATTGTGAGAATAATACTAATGAATTAGCTGAATGCCTTGCTTGTTCATTAGACCATTGGGTCTGCTCAAGACAGGCTCTCGACGGACAATTGATCCAATCATGTGTGGATAATGGGAGGAACAGGAATTCGTGAATATCAAGTTTTCTTTTTTTGTTGGAAGAATCAGTCGTCCGGTACTCAATCAATTGATTCAATTAATTTTCATTCACATTGATCGAATCTCTTGGTTTTCACCTATTGTTAGATTACGTACGGTTGGAGCTGACAACCCATCACGTACCTTCCTCAGATTTTCCCGGTAGGCACAAGTAAACTGGCCGTTAGGGGCGCGAGAGACCTTGAGAAAAAAAAATACAAGAAAAGGTATCGACTACCATACGATTGGAGAGTCAACTAGCTTTACATCGATAGAAGGCACCACTTGCAGAAGCACATGTAGTTTTTTTTAAATTATTGAAGTGATTGTTGTTTGTTTTGATAATTATGTACGAGTAGATGTAGATTGTACAATCTTTTGAGAGAATAATTGACACTGAATGGATAGTTGAGATTTTCGAAGAGTATTAGGTAAAGTTATGATTTTGCCGGCGAGGGAGTAACACTCAACCCTAGTAATTTGCACTTAAATCATCGACATTGAATCAGTAAAACTGGAGTCTAATGTGGTGCATGCAACACCCATTGTTTCAACACATGCCACATATATCACTGAAATCATAATCATGCGAAAACCATTTATTCCTGAATAAATTAGTGACGAAGGGGTAGAGCAGTTGGTAAGATCAACCCAACTCATTTAGACTGCTAACTGTCAAATTATCTCAGTAATGAGCAGTGGTAGCCGAAAACACTATTCGATTTTTGGTTGAGAACTTTATTCTCTACAAAAAAAAGCCCTCCGGTGTTTTCTCTCATAACCAGTGGCTCTCGAGATAATCCCCTAATTCATGACTCCCCTACTGAAACCGTAAATCGAGAAGCTGAATGAGTGTCGTGACTCCACGATAATCATATCTGAATGAATCATGAATATTGAAAAAAATTTTCGTTATCTGTTCACACCAAAGCAGCCGCCACAAGGAAATACAACTCAATCGAACAGATAGAATCAAAAACATGAGCCCATTCATCACAAGACACTCGTTACTGATGATTCATAAAAAAATCGTAAATTTTCACTGGGCGTTTCGTAATGAACACCAATAATCCATTCATAAACACCAATTTGAAATACTCACAGCGCTGACTTTACGAACTTTGGCTGCGGCGCTGTGATTGTTGTTGATGGGCCTGACTCGATACTCGCTTATGGATTCGACCGAGCGTATGCTCATTCTCTCCTTGTTGTTGTCGTCATTACCCTTCTCCTGGCCAACAAATAGCTCGTAACTGTGGCATGAGAAGTCCGATGGTGACTTAACAATGGCGTCAGCCGCAGCTTGGGCAGCCGCGGCTTCTCTCGCGGCTGCCTGCGCCGCTATTTTGTTCTCTCGGGCCAATGCTGCCTCCTCGGCTTCCTGAATATTAAAAATGAGCATTGGCGGGGGAGAAGGAAAAAAAATGGGGGTAGTACGTTGGTCCTGACTATTTTCCTCAACATTTTTTCCATTTTTCGATGGACTATTCGTCTAATCATTATGAGAAATTGATGACTCAGTCGTCATCGCTCAACTAATGCTAATGTTTTGTCGATTCCTTCTGGCAGGTCAATAAACCTTCGCGGATTTCCTGGACATCACTTGGCTTTTTTCCCTTTTTCTTGTCTTTTATGAAGATTACTTACTCTTATGGCTTCCTCCTCAGCCGCCTCTTCCTCTTCCGCCTTTTTCTGCAACTCATCGTACGACATGGCGACAATAGCGAGAATCAAATTCACGAGATAGAATGAACCAAGGAAAATGATAACAATGAAGAACAGCATGTGCCATGGTCCAGCTGATCTCAACACAAGTTGGTAGAGATTCTCCCAGTAATCCTGGGTCATCAAACGAAAGGCGGATAGCAGGGCCCAGCCAAATGTATCGAAACTCGTGTAGCCGTAGTTTGGATTGCCACCGTAGCCTTGCAAACACACGTAACCGGGGGCACACATGCTGGAAGTAATTTTAATATTGAAAATGCTGTTTAATTGCGCTGAAAATAAGAGGAATTTTTAATAATCACCCTGCACCGGAGGAATTCCCACATAACGGCATGTTCCCGTTGTCATCCACGTACCAATTTGCTGAAGATTTCGAAAAATTGAATGTTAGAACAGATTATTTTGCTAATATCCCCGTAACGCAATAGTTTCAAAGACATTTGCAAAAAATCTTTTTTATAAGTTTCACAATTTTGTTACACACGTCATCAACTCACTTGAATTTTTGTTGAATCTCTCCCAATTCTCACCAGTAAGATTGCCCCACGATCCGTCCTCCGGAAAATTCTTTATACACTTTTGCGTCAAAACCCCCATGTAAATCTGAAGGCCCATCAACGCAAAGACGGACAGGGAGAACATTGTTAAGATTATCACATCGCGCAGATTTTTAACTGACTCTATCACAGCGCCGACAATGGTTTTGAGACCTAAACAATTTTCAAAATATTATCACTAAGCCCTCACGACAAATTCCCTGGCATCTCTCATCCCAACGCATTCCCGAATCATTTTAGTTATTAATTTAAATATTTTCATTTTAACGATTGTAAATTGTCTCATGTTAATCATCTGCACATTGTTAACAGGCATCGAATAATTGCGCTAAATGTCAAATCTATGATTATGTCATCAGTGTACTACGCTGAATCAATACTCTAAGCATACCTGGTACAATAGCGACAGTCTTCAAGGCTCGGAGGACTCGAAATGTCCTGAGAGCGGCAAGGTTGCCTAGATCTATGCCCATCGTCACATAACTGCAATACACCCGAACGTCACACACATTACAGTTATACAAAATCATATTAAATAAAAGTGTATAATAAAGAAATTAAATTCAATGAAAAATGAAGAAAAAAAAAATTCAATAAACTTAAACGAGATATAAATTCATTAATGATTAAATTACAACTATCAACTACCTGTAACCTACCGCGTCATGATAACTCATTACTGAATTCTCATAAATCTCAAGTTCACATGCACAATGTATAAATAGATATATAATAATTCCGCTGCGAAGTGGTGAAACAAATCAAAATATCAAAATTGTTAATCAATCATCTCACCACTTCCAACTGAATTAAACTCTAGTTAATCTTGACTTTTTAATGATTCATGGTAATTATTTCTATCAACATTAAATAACCCAATGATCAAACTAATTCTACAATTAATAAACAATGAACCATTTAAACTTGTCCTGACTATTCTAATGTCAAATCTTGATCTGTAGGACGAGAGTTGGCCAACTAAATTTCTGATCGTGTAAATACTGATCGACTACACTATTGTATAGGATTTAGCCTAATTGATGTATATTAACGCCATAACGGCATAATCTTCACTCGATCTTTCTCACAATCAAAGACAGAAGGACTGTCTATCTCTGAACTATGAACTTATACAATGAATAATGAACCTCACACTAAGAGTCAACTCTAAAATTTCGATTAAACGATTGACCTAATTGATGACCTATAATGGCACGACTTTCATTGGCTCTGAGTACGTTATACAACAGTCAATGGTCTCACTCGATCAACTCCAAATAGACTATTACAGAAAATCATTACAGAATACAATGAAGAGAGGATCTATCACTCAGCACATTTTGGTGATATAATAACGCTGTTTTCAATGAACATTTCGAATGTGTTCAATTACATTTGATTGTTATCACTCTCGTTGATTGATTTTTTTAAATAATTAATATTCAATGATTGTTTTAACTACTCACGCTAAAGCTATAACTACGAAGTCGAGCCAATTCCATGCATCTCTAAGATAGGTAAAAGGCTGCAGAATGAAACCCCTCGCCATCACCTTAACGGCGGACTCAAATGTGTAGATGCCCGTAAATAACACTCTGAAAACACATAAATCAACATTAACAGCTCGACAATAAATAATATTGTACACTTTATGGTTACTCACTAGTCGTAACAATTATAGTAAAACATTGACAGCAATTTTAATGGTTAAAATTTTTTCTACTGTAATATTTTCATTTGGTTATCTGATAATCGTCTAATCTATCGTTTCTAGATATCTTCTTTCCAAAACTTACCAAAATCATTAACTATGTCACGAATTACCTAGTGTACTTGAATCATTTACGTTGATTATTCGATTATTATCTTCTATAAAATGCAGTGTACTAATGAAATAATAACAGTCAGCATCAACTATTCATTAATAATTGGTTGGATATTCGCAGGGTTATTCTGCATCTTGTCATCTTGAAACTGGTGATTCTAGTAATTCATGAGTGGGGGGAGGGGAATGATTGGATAGTGTTCAATGGATAAAAATTACGTACTCGGTTGACTCGATGGTGGGCGTGGTTGGCATAATCATGAGTATGCAGTTAACCAAAATAGTGGTGATGATGAATAGGGAAAAGAGCGGGTGAACCAGGATATAAATGGCCACCCGTCGTATTGGATTGAATGGGTCGAGGAACCATAGCGCATCCGTCGCCGAGAATCTGAATATGTCCTTCCCCTTGCTGATGACCACGAACGTCTGAAATAAAAATGGCGTATTAATGGCATAAGTCGGGTAAAAAAAAATAGTGAAGCCAAAAGGGGATGGAAAAATTTGGAAGATGGCTTAAAAAAATTGCTCCTCTTTTAGAAATCAGATGAAGTGAGTTGAGAGTAATTTGAGGAAGATAAACGATTTCAAGAGATGATTGAAAATGCGAGGTGGAGACGGCGCCATCTTTGGAGCCACTTGCGACTGAGGGAAGGGATCTCCGAGCAAGATGGCGCTCACACCGGTCAACCACCTCGTATTTATGAACATTTAAAAAAAATATTTTTCCTCTCCAGATCACTTTCAACTCATACCAAACAATTCCTAAAAAATGAACAATTTTTTTTTAATTTTTCTACTCCCGAGACTTCTTAAAATAAATCAAATCAATTGAATTAAACTCTGCTCTTAATCATTGCTATCAAAATAGAGTGCTTGCCACTCCAATTTTACCCTTTGATTATGATAAAAGGAATCGATGTCCTCAAGGGGCGTGGAGGCCAGCTCAGGGGGAAATTCGTTGTGCAGTCGGACTGGAATTGGCGCCCCTTGTTCAAACATCGGATCTGGCTGTGGACCCTCATCCTCGTCTTCGTCGTCATAACGGGTCTGTGAAGTACGAATGAATTATCAAAATCACCGGCCGAAAAACCCCCCAAAACAGTCAAACTTCTTCACTATTCTATGTACACATTATGATCATCTGGACTGACTGTCTCCCTAATTCCATTATAAATGTGAATGCACTCTGTACGATTTTTGCAAATATGAAACGACCATTGACATGCTTAACTGTGTTCAAAATTTGGGAGATAAATAGCCTTCATATTTGCATCTCGACATGTCTCTTCAAACCTGAAAACCATATTTACACGAATTTTCTCATCTAGATCATTGATCATACCGATCAGTGTCAATTTGCTTATCGGAATGCTGTTCTTCAACGAAGCCGTACTGTCAATACGTGTGTATCATAGCAAAACACGTGACTGATATTTTCAATTCTTCATCATTTTTTCACTTTTCGTATCAGCAATATTGCCTGCTCTAATAACAATCCAAACTCGATCAATCTATTGTAACTAAATGTGTTCAAGGGTGTTCTATAAAAACAATATCATAATTAAATTAGTGTATGTGTACCAGATTATCATCGTGGAGTCTTATTTGCGCGTGCATCACTAAAATTAATCTAATATTACATGTGGTCACGGTATTGTCAATACCAATAGCCATCGATGATCACTGATTTTTGCGTGATTGGTCTTACATTTTTGCCGACTATATCTAATAAAGCGCATTTGTGTGGACATTCATTGTTAAAGCGTTATGCGTAAAGGTTGCACTGCACTTTTTCATGGACCCCCCAGCACTTCCCAGGCTCCCCTCATCAATCAGTGAGGTCTCCAAGCCTGGGAAATACGGAGGTGAGGATGAGTGAGCAAAAAGCCAACATCTCAATCATAATTGCGAGTATCATAAAGTGTAATATCATTGTCATCATAATCACTGTATTGTCAAAATAGTGTATTGTACTAATGACTAAAGGTAATAACGAGCTCTCTATCACTTCATTATTCATTATATCTATGATAATTCACTAGTAAATTAATATAATATGCTGTGAAAGGATAATTCAATTGATAGAGATAAAAAATAAATCGTGTGATTAACTGATATTACTTGTCATGATGCAACATCTTACTTCTTTTTTCTTTTTCTTCCGTCCATAACCACCCTGTAATTGCACAATGGGGAAAAAAGAGTTACACACATACAGAACATACACAGTAGGAAGAGAGATTGTGATTAAAAAGAAAAATTAAATTTACAAGTTTGAAAAATAGTTCAGTTAAGAGAGACTCTTTCATCTAATTTATCAATTACTTATTTCTCATTTAGTATAATTCTCTAGTACTATGACTACGGGGTTTAACTTGAGTAATGGGAACGTCGAGTGCACCTCTGTGAACATGAAGGTGAAAAAAAAATTGTACACGTGACTTATTTATTACTCTTTCACGTTTAATTAGTTAAATTGTTGTCGAGAGTATTTTGTCACAAAGAATCATTTTGAAAATGGGGGGCGGAAGATTGAAAGTAGTAGTAGAAGATACGAGATAAAAGACAGGCACAACATTAATGACACTGCATACATCGAGCTTTCGCACGCGATTAAGATATTGTTTATGATACAAATTTTGTATTATTATTTATAACACTGAGAGGGCGTATGATCACTCGGTTATCGAAGCTACAGCTAATTTTACAACAAAATTTATAAATAAAATACGTTCAAGCAAAAACACCCAACACTGTTACAGCAGATGATATTGATGTCATGGGAGGGCAAACGCGATTTATTAAAATCAGTATTTTCTCATGTACATGAGCACTGATGTCAATGTACATGGCTGTGTCTGTTCTTGGTATTCTTTATTACCGTGTATGAGAAATTTTTATGGGGCGTATAACGAATTTACTGAAAAATCTGTTACTCCAGATATGCCAGCGGCGCATGGTAGGCAATATAGGCGAATTGCGAGGTGGAGAGGTAGTTTACAAGAGAAAAAAAAGCACTTTTTTTTTTAACCTGGAAACAGGTACCTTTATACATAGGTATAGGTATAGCATTTACTCAGCACGGGCGCTTAGATTTTACAAGCTTTTCCATCGATTTGTAAATAATTCTCAGCTCAGAAACACCGCAAGTTCAACTCTCGCGTTTGAGAGAAACTGTTAAATCTCTTTCGCCTCTTTAAGCTTTGTGGAAATGAATTTTAAATAAACATGTTAATCCGCCCCTCTCTCTGATATCATCGACGTGCGTCTAATCAGATTTTTCAAATGAACGTAAAACAACAATATTACAACACAAATAATATAACAAATCAAACTGTGATTGTCAAGTTTTTAGGTATGTGGATTTACGTACCTCGCCTTGTGCTCTTTTAGCTTCAAGCTCCTTCTGCTTGGCAAGTTCTTCAGCAATGCGAGTCTCGATAGCAGCCAGGGATTCCCGCGTGAACGGACGGAACAAACTTCGTTCTTCTGATAAGGAGGAATAATCGTCGGACATTGTCTACGCTGCGCGCAACCAAGGCACCTTCCTAAAAAATCAATCGCCTTTATAAATGCAATAATTTTATATTTGTAATTTGTTTCTTTAAATTAACTATTTAATTAAATTTATTTTGATGCGATATTTTGCAAAACTCAATAGGTTTTTTAAAAATTGTTTTCATTTTTTCATGCCAATCAAATAAATTTGTTCTGATGAAACGATGTTGTTTGTTTTTTTTTCTTTTCTTAATTGTTTGAGTTGAGAGAAAAGTACTATAATGATTGGAATTATTTTTAAATACTTTGAGAGTAATTGAGACAACATTTGGATTGGCAACACTCCCGGAAACATGATCAGTGTCATTTTTATGATCGAGTATCAGATTTCCGGGATGACTTCCTGACTCAAATCTATTGGCTATTTCCACTCGGGCCATTGCCCATAAAATCCCATCTAATTAGATTGAGCACGCAATCTGGCCATTAAACTGTTGCCAAAAATAATGCAATAGGTTTTCTCCCCGGGGTAGATCGTGGCAAAGTGAAATGTGGGGAAAAGTGAAACGTCAACAAATTTTCTCCTCGAGGGTCTCAAGGGTCAAAAGGGCCATGATCTTGCGAAAGTTTAATTCTGGGAGAAAAAATTAGTTCTGCGGAAAAACTAGATGTTCTACGTGAGAATATTTGATGCAGTGGAACAGATCCCATACGGAAAAATATATATTCTGAAAATTATATATTTTATATATGGAATTGGCCTGATTTATATATATTTTCTCTATTTATATTTTGGACAAATATATTAAAAAATATCTTAAATTAACCCAATTCCTAAAAAATATATATAAAACATATATTTGCATACAAAACATATATTTATATTTTTTAATATGAATTGGGCCAATTTAAAATATTTTTTTATCTATTTTTCAAAATATAAATTTTTCCGTGTGAGATGTTCCAATAAAATAAATGACTGAATAAATAAATGAATAAATAAATTACCTTGCGGTAGGTGCTAACACTTCCTGAAATGACGTCTGTGTTTTCCAGATGATGTACAATTAAATTGTTGATGACAGTTAGTTAATCTCAATCGATATAATCGTATATCACTGTCAATGTGATACTTGAATTTTGAATGGGCTTGTGTGTACAAATAATTGTTGTAGGATCGGACGGATAAGTGCGGCTTTATCACCAATTTTCTCCACGTTATTTTATCACGTGTGTATTTGCCGCTCGTACCACTCCGTCTTTTCACCTCTGTCCATTTATCATTTATAACTGTTGTTTTAATATTATATTTGTAACACCCGTAATTCTTGTTGTTTGGTGAAATAGCGACGATCAGTAATGTACGCGCTGCGGCAGTGCGTGGTATGTTGGGGCCAGTCCAACGTGTACCAAGATTTTTCATGTCCGACTTGGGACACAATTTATTAAGAAAGGGCATTTGCGTGTAATACCCCGGGGGACATTCTTGTCCCCCCGGTGAACATTTTCTCGTTAATTCCAATTTCATCTGTCAAAAATTAAAATCAAAACATCAAAATTTATCCCTCACCAGAGGCATCTCATATCCATCATTCTCATGTCACTGATTGATGGTGGGTGATTTCGGGGGATTATCTCGATGATGAGTGCTGCTGGGGGGGAAAAAGTTGCAAGGAATTTCTTTGTGAGGAATTTTATGGGCCACAAATAGCCCTCCTTACATTTTTCCTTCGAGCAACATCACTCTTCTTCGAGATACCACACGATTCCACGATTAAGTGATGGAAATTTCTCAGCATGATTTTGTGAACAGCTTGAAAAGACCCCAAGGACACCCGCAAAATAACTCCCACCCCGGAAATCCCTCAACAAATGACAACACAGAAACGAAAATAACAATTAAGGACATCCAAGTACTTCGGCTATTTTTTCGTCGGTGAAAAGATCTTCTAGTTTTTTAGCCGAACATCAGAGCTTTTAGTTGAGCCCAAGTTTCCGGACATTTTACAGTGATTTTATTATTTAAACTTTTTATTTAAGATTATTTAAACTTGATATTAAACCGTTAGAAAACGTTTTAAAAATCGGAAAAAAATTAGAAAGCAGACATCGGCATAATAATAAATTTTTAATAAAGTTTCTGTACAAGATCGACTGGGATCAAATTTGTGTACTATGTAAAAGTATAAAAAAAGAGATATTAGAGCTTTTTTTTCGTGAACTGTACTATTTATCAGGCCTTGAGAAGTTACTTTTTACCTGAACTAGTCACAAACAAGTGTATTGAAGTTCCTGATAGACTCAACAGTGTACTAAACGCGAAGGATTTTAGAACGCTTAGAAACCTCTATTGCTATTATAAAAAAGCTTTGCAACATAGATCTCAATTGTTAAATGACTAAATGCTGTGATATATTCAAACAGGAAAAAAATCGTTGGTTCAATTTTATGAAAATTTATCTGGCTAAATTTGTTTGTAACTGAAGTTTGGAATTTTTTGCTATTGCTACATATCAACCGCCTTTAGACAAATGTCTTTTACTTTTATATATTTATATAATATTTTTTAACCTTATGTATGAAACTACCCCCCTCCCCCTGCAAATTATTACCATGTAACTAAAAAGCAGTAAATAAATGATAATAATAAGTAATAAATTTTAGATAAAGTTAAATTTTGAATAAGTTGTTAATATTACTCAACAATTTTTCAATTATTGAATTAATCGTCAATGAAATATTCAAATTCCGAATTACTTCAACAGTCAATAACTGAGTAAGGAAGATTGACGATGATTTGGCTAATCAAAAATCTTTTTATAAAATTTAAAAATTGAATAAAAGGATCTCTATAATCAATTGACAATTCCTTATTGTCAATTATTTAATTCAGAGTCAATTAAAAATTGAAATTATCAATTATTTTATTATTTCTCAAATTTCAATGAAGATAAGTAAACTTCAATTATTGCAATGTGCAACTTCTCATAATATTACTAAACTAGTGATACATGTTGATCCCTGTTAGAAAGTTTACTTTTGGAAGAAGATTGATGAAATAATTTTTGTTTATCATTCATTTAACTGAATGAAATAATTTAAAAAGTATATTTTTTTAAATTACGGTCATTGTCTATAAATAATTGTGAAATCCCAACAAATTGATTCATATTCAGAATTTCAACAGAAATCAATTTAATGCCTAAAAGAATAAGGTTTCCGCGTTTAAACAATTTCAGTTATTAATTTACAAACAACGAATGTTTAAAAAAATAATAATTCTGTGCGAAACGCAGTTTTAATGACGCTGAATATCCACGATTGTGTTTCAAATTTGTCTCACACAAGTTAATCAACAAATTTGACGATTGAAAATGGTCTAATCTATAACGTGGTCTGTACCAAACTGTAAAAGACACTTGGATATCCACAATCGCTGACATACATACGTATACATGAAGCGATGAGTATTCTCAATCTTCTATCTTGATTATCATAGCCGTTTGTCCTCGAAGCTACACCCCTCTGAAAACAATCCAGCAGTCACGAAAAAATCCATTAAAAAAACCTATAAAAAAATATCCTAATCTAATGACAAGGTAAATTATAAAAAAAGGGGGAGTATAATGCATGAGCATTAAAGCGAATGTATCATTTGCCTGAAGCATTGTTATTCGACTTTTTCGTAATGGATTCCAAAGTTGACGTCGCGTTTTACCCGCCAACAACTAGCCGCGATTGGGCTATCGCGTGTCAATGGCAAAAGTAGGTGAGCACATCGTCCACACACACACACACACACACATACAAATTACCCACACACCCTTGTACCCCTACTATATGGGTTTTAACCCTCAGACTAAAGTCGACTAAAGTCCCTCACGAGTCAGACTGCCCGGCGGCAAGAGACTCCAACTGCAATTCCACATAAACCACCCTCTT